CGACAACGCCTTCCTCAGCTACCACCCGCACCCCTTCACCCAGCGCACGCTCACCGCTCGCTTCCAGGTCAACAACACCCAACCGCCTCACGTGCAGATCATCAGGAAGCCCGTCCTCTCCGTCATGGGCCTGCTGGCTCTGCTAGGTGACCGTCTTTTCCTAAACACTTTCCTTTACCTCCGTGGAAAATGTCAATAAATCAGGGAAAGGATAGTATCTTTGGATCGTATAGTTATTGTCTCATAGAAAGTTTTTCTAACTAAGTCGAATGACCCAAAAGTGTCTTAGTGACAGCCATGATAAACACTTGAAATGTTCTTAATCCAAAGGAAAGGTGTTATTTTCATAGAGTAACGTCTCCTATGTAGGATGTTTTTAATTTATCCATAGGAATTGCAAGGAATTGTGAGATGGCTTTATCTCCTTTACTTTCACAAAGGACCGTCCAGTGTGTCCTGCGCTAAAGATATGGGATAAGAGAGAAAGTATCTAAAGCCCCTTTCCTTAGCATTCAGATGAATTAGAGAATTAGACCAGGTCTTATTGCTGCCACCTAAATACCTCCGGTCTAGATTTTTAATACATTTAAATACCATATTAACGCAATGTTGCATCTGTTATAGTTATCTGTTCAGATATTAGATATCTATTTTTATACACATCTGTTTATACGACCTTTTCATTCATAACTTCCCATATATCCGTATACATCATTTTATTATGTGAATTTAACTTTAGTAGCTGTATTATATATTTCAAAATATAAAATACAGAATTGTTGCATTTGTATACCTTCAGTGCTAGGCTGTATCTGTGCCTATGAGAATCAAGCCTTTAAATCTTCTCGTTTTTAATGTTGCCTTTGTTTGTGACTCCACTCTCAGGAGAGACGCAGGTCCTCTCTCAGGTTTTGAGCTCCGCAGGTACTAACAGCACAGTGGGAGTTCTCGCCAGCATCCACAGCCCTGTAACAGAGCGCGGCTCCGACAGCTGGCAGGCCGCCCTGCTGCTGTTCAACAGTGACGACAACAGCAGCTCCACCGACACTGATGATGTCGGCCTGTCTCTAAAGGGACTGGCTGCACAGAAGGGTGGGTTCAACTAAACTCTCTCCCCAAACAAGCAGACTGAAAACCCATCTGTTCAGGCTGCAAATAAATCTCTAAAAAGTAAAAAATATAAAATTAAATACTGCTGCCTTTTAATATTATGAATAGGTTATGCGAGTTTTATTTATATTGCAAAAATAAACGATGAAATACAAATGTGCTTTACCAAAACCTTTAAACGCAAGACATTTTAAACATTTAAATAAAGTGATTATAAATTAAAGAGAATATCAATTACAACAAGAGAATATAAAATGAAACATGGAATATAATGCAAGAATAAAACTAACAACGCTGTGAAAGATATGAACAATTATTTGATTAAATAAAAGGCAGCAGCATCTTCATCTGCAGCAAGTCTTCATCCTTGATTTCAAATAAGTGATAGTTGGCATTTCTGGGAGCTGGATCCAGATTTGTGATTCATATAACTATTTGTCCAACAGACCATGATGTCTGCAAGTTGAGTTAAATCTGAGTCCTGATTGTCATCTGTCTGTTTGCTCTGCAGGTCTTATGTATGTTGCATATTATATTGACAACAACTTAACCAACCCGTACGGGCTGTGGCAGAGAATGGGCCGCCCCGACTTCCCCACAGCCGAGCAGTTCAGACGCCTCAGGAGCGCGCAGGTAAACACCAGGGAAGAATGATACTGTAAAAATGTATGTTTATTATCATATTTATGTTTTTTTTTAATACACGTTGTGATTTATAAGTTGTTTACAGTTAAGAAACTCTGGAATTTGAAAGAAACACACTGTTTTTTTTACTCAAAATTACATATCTTTTCCCGTTATATACTATATAAATGTATATCTTTCACTGTTAGATTCTCTATAGATGTAGGTGTTTACTGTTTATTTTATAATGTTGATATTTATTAACTGTTTATTTTCAGTTATTTTACTTTTCATTCATGTGCAATTCCTTGTTTACATGCTGCTGTGACTAAACAATTTCCCATATTGGGATCAATAAAGTCTATCTAATTACCTTACTTTGAAATATTTTACTATTTTAACAAAACAATGTATTCCCCTATTTACATAATACTAGAATGATAAATATCTTATTAATGAGATGGTGCAGCAGAGCTGATTCCTTTGATCTATTTTTGGCTTTTCCTTCTCAGTGAGGTGCTGTGAGACATTCTTTGATCCACTAATGATTTGTCATTGTTTTCAGCACCCTCATGTGGTTGGACCCCTGGAGGTTCCTGCTGGGGACACTCTGACTCTGAGAGCCAGACTCTCTCTGCCCTCCGTCTTCCTCGTACATATCTGTGCACGACCCAAAGCTGAGCCAGACCAGGTCAGTGTCAACACGCAACCACAAAGAAAAGATAAAGGTTCACCTTGTTTTCATGTGTTTTAGAGTCCACCTTAAAGTGCTCATAAATGTTATTTATCTTTAACTCTCCATACGTTAAATAAGCATATACAGTATGTCTGTGTCAATGCAAGTAAGACAAGTAAATTAGTGTTGTATTATAATAATAAGAACTTGAATTTATATAGAGCCTTTCATAACCTCAAGGTCGCTTTACAAAGAAACATATAAGGACAAGACATTAAACATAAACATAAAACAGGGGGCAGAAATGGAAGTGTAACATTGCAGTGGGGGGGAGAGTGAGTTATTGTTGGAAGGCTGTGTTGAGCAGATGCGTTTTCAGGGTTGATTTGAAGATGTTGAGAGAAGGGGCGTTGCAGGGAGGGAGTTCCAGAGGGTGGGGGCAGCGACATTGAAGGCACGGTCCCCGAAGGTGTGGAGGCGTGAAGATGGAATGGAGAGCAGGCCAGAGTCTGAGGATTGAAGGGTGCGGGATGTATGGGTGGAGGAGATCTGTGAGGTACTGTGAAGTACTGAGGGGAGAGGGCATGGAGGGACTTGGAGGTGAGGAGGAGGAGTTTGTAAGTGATTCGGGACTTAACCGGGAGCCAGTGGAGGTTGAAGAGAGTGGGGGTGATGTGCTGCCAAGGCTTGGTGCGTGTGAGAACCCTGGCAGTTGAGTTCTGTATATACTGGAGCTTGTATGATGATTATGTTCTGAATGTTCTGCTGAAAGCCTGATGGATTTACGTTTTCAACAGCCAACAGACAAACACCTTCATGGTACTAAGCTGCATATTTCAAAAGAGATTAACTCTCAACTATATTTGACTTCTGTTTAGGTTAATGGGTTACGCTTCATCGGGATCACCAAGGGCCAGGTCCTGATCGTCTGGTCGGACCACTGTGTTGATTCCAAGTAGGTGACATAATTATTTCTTTTATTTTTGTTTTCACTGCAAAACATGTAAAAGAGTGAAAGTATGTTAAGATTAATAATTTGAAGGTTCATTTTCACATACAAATGTATATAAACGACCACACCTCAGTTACAAACCTTGTAAAAAATTGTTACCTATAGTAGTTTTGTAATAGTTTTCTACCTATGTTATCCCAAACGATAAATCTGTAATTTTAATTAAAGTAAGGGTGAGATTTGACTTGGTCTCCTGTAATGGTGACATATCCATCTTTGCACACGCGTCAGCACTGTGGTTGTCTTCAAGAAGCTGTGGTAAACACATTTATCAGTTATCTCGGCAATCTTAAGCAGTTAGCTCGCAGAACCTCAATCCCATGTCTGCCAAATCGCCTCAAAGAAACAATGATTTGTAACATGAATCTGCTTTTTCAGTGTATTTACCTGTTTTAATAACCAGATCTGTTGTTTTTCTAGAGGAGGTTACCTCTGCGGATAATTCAGCCTCTGTAAAGAAAAAACTGCGGAATGTCTGATTCTTAGCTATCAGAGAAATAAGCTGAGAAAACATTAGTGACAACTCGGTTTGCAGTCTGATTTATTCAAAAAAAAAGACAGTGTTGTGCGTTTTAAAAATGTTCCTTCTCATACGGCTTGCTGCATTACAGTAGATGAATAGTTAATATGTAATATGCATGGACTAAGAACAAGAAAGCCATCGCTATGCACTTTAACTTCTCTGTTTCTTTGCAGATGCATTAAGACTTTTGAAGTGGAGTTCTACCCAGACCACGAGGAATTCAGCAGAATTAATACTCAAAACACCATTTTCACTTCTTATGTGTATTCACCTGGTAAGGATTCCCAGGAAATGATTTCATTGGCAATATTGTCAATGACTAACAACATTTCAGAAAAATGTCTTCACCTTTTTAAAGCTAAATAATACCATATACCCTTTTGTGTTTTGTAGTAGACCTGCAGGTGGGCGGTCTGTACAGAGTCCGTGCTGTGGACTACTGGGGGAGGCCCGGCCTGTACTCGCTGTCGGAGAGGTACTCAGAGGAGAAATAAATAAATTCTTAACAGTTTTCTACCATGTAAATACATTTGATAGAGATCACTGTGCTGATTGGATATGCTTTATACAGTATGGGTGCTGTGTCATCTTTCTTATCACATTGTTAGCATACATTTATCATTTATGCTCATGATCTTTTGGACAGATGATAGCAGAAAATGCAACCTATTTGTACGAAAGGGAAGAGATAAGTAATTAACTGATGACACTGTTAAAAACTGTTACAATCAGAACCAATGTAATGGATTCATGATGATTTTGTTATCTTTTTCAAAATGTGTAGTACTCTATTTTATTTATACTCTTTTATATAAATGTGGAAATATCTTTGTGCGTAAGATAAGTAAAAGTTGGATCACCAAATTTAACATGGCAGTTTTTCCAAAGACACAGACAACAACTTCAAGTTTCTTTACAAAATGTATTGTCACCAATACAGAATGATAACACAGATCAGATACATGAACATACTGTGTGGTTACTTATTTCATCACATTACCTCAACTAATAATACTTTTCATTGAATTTTGGCAAGTACATTAGTATTAATCTTGTCATTGGCAGTGTTGATTTAGTTATTCAATGTGACATTTCATTTGATATATCCGAAGTCTCTCTTATGACGTTTGAACATCATAACAGAATTATTATTCTTTCTTTGAGAAGGGCTATGTCTTCATTTTGGGCAGGATGATCATCCGGTATATACAGAGACTCCAGAAGAAGAAGTTTAGCAGGCTCCTGTTAAAACAAGAGAGAGAAACAAGTGTTAGATTTATTCAAATGTAACAAATAAAATTACAAAAATATTTTCTAATTAGTTGTTAAGATCCAGAGATGAATACTTGTCCACAAAGTTAACTTTTTAAAAGCTTTTACATTCAGTCTTGTGATTTCTCTAGACTTGCCCGATTGTAATGAACCAAAAAGGCCACATTCTTATTGTGAAGGGAGTCATTTCGAGGGCGTAGTGACAAGAAATGTTTCGAATGTGACAATATTAATAAACATCCCAATAAATGGCGAGAGGTATTAAGTACAATATTGAGTTCCAAAATGTAGCACAGTAGAAGTATTAAATATAGCATAAATAGAAATACTCGATTAAAGTAGAAGTACCTCAAATGTATACTTAATTACAGGAGTTGAGTACATGTACGTTACGTACCAGTCTGCAGCACAGGCTGAAACTCGCCGACCATGCAGATTTCCTCCTGTTTTTGGCGGACGACCCTCTGGATGGCGGGGGGGAGGCCGCGGGGGTTGCGGGAGAAGAGCAGGGAGTATCCGTCGTCGCAGCTTCCATCGTCCTTCAGGGTGCGGCAGGCGTAGGTGAGGGCGTAGTTCTCGTAGTCTGTGTCAATGACCCAGTAGTTGTCGCCTGAAAGAGCAGAGAACAAGAAGTTACAGTAGTCTCTGCTGTGTGAGAAAGAGACTGAGAGGATGTGTGGGTTATCTGACTCAAAAGGCAACACAAAGTACATAAAGTGTTTAGGCATCAGTGGCTCAGGCCTTAGAGACTTGGCATGGGAACCTGAGGCTGGTCCTAAAGAAACATACCTCCGCTGGAAAGGTAGCTGGCCAGGCCCTGGTAGTTCATGAACATCTTGCCGGGGGACGCGGGGTCGGGCACAGAGTACTGAGCGGCCATGTCGGCGCACACCACCCAGAACCTGGAGCAAAAGAGAAATTGCACTTTTGCAAAAGGGCCTTAAAGTTGTATTTAAGTATAGTTCTTGGGTGGAAGTACTTAATTACTTTCCACCACTTAAATACCCACCCAAAGAGAGTAACTCTGCCCTTGGAGGCGGCGACCATGGCTCCATCTTCTCCGATGGTGTACTCAGCAGAGATGTTGTCCTGCAGGAACAAACCCTCAGGGTCCTTCTTCTGCAGAGCGTACCACTTTCCTGCATACTGTGGAGACAAATCATTAGGGCAAATATGTTGAGAGCCATTTCATCAGTACAATATGGATATGCACTTGAAAAAAGAAGGCTTATTTTGAATGTGATCCATCCCCTCCTGACCCAGAAAACGACGCAACTTCTGGCCCAGGCTCTCGTTATCTCACGCCTAGACTACTGCAACTCCCTCCTGGCTGGTCTACCTGCATGTGCCATCCGACCTCTGCAGCTCATCCAGAATGCAGCGGCTCGTCTGGTCTTCAACCTTCCTAAATGTTCCCACACCATGCCGCTCCTCCGCTCCCTTCACTGGCTTCCAGTAACTGCTAGAATCCACTTCAAGACACTGGTACTTGCGTACCATGCTGCGAATGGATCTGGCCCTTCCTACATCCAGGACATGGTTAAACCGTACACCCCAGCACGTGCACTCCGCTCTGCATCAGCCAAACAGCTCGCTGAACCCGCATTGCGAGGGGGACCCAAGTTCCCATCAGCAAAAACACGTGGGTTTGCTATCCTGGCTCCAAAATGGTGGAATGAGCTCCCCATTGAAATCAGGACAGCAGAAAGCTTACACATCTTCCGGCGCAGACTGAAAACTCATCTCTTTCGACTCCACTTCGAGCGATAGAATTACTAACAAAGCACTTATACTGTATACTAATAAAGGACTGGCTTATCTAAAGCCAGTTGAGTAGCACTTGAAATGTTTNTATAACCGGGAGAAAATCATTGCCGTCGTTAAAGTATTGTTAAGGGAAAATTATTAGGCCATATATAAATGTAATTTAGTTAATGTACGATGATAGTAGTACTATCTGGCTTGTGGTGTCCTTTTTTGGATACATGTGATCGTTAAACGTGATCACACATAGCCTTGATGGAGACGGAGATCGATGCTTCCGTTGCTCCGCCACATATCTGGGGTTCGCAGCACTTCCTAGGATGGGGAATTATCACTTTGAAGGGACCGGATCTTATGCTCCGTTCCTTGCAAGAGCCGGTTCAAAAGAGCAGGTTTTTTTAAGGCGGTTACCTTGGTTACCGAAATTAACTTTTACTAATCAATCAAAAGTGCCCTGTTTGATAAGATATTATGGTCACATATCACTTTAATTCAATACTCTTGTACTGAGGTATTCAAAAGTAAAAAAAGTAATTTGTAATATAAATGATTTGCTGTTGGTCAAATTGTTTTCATTGCAGTTACAGACCCTTGAACCTCTCGTGATTGTAAACCACGCAAAATAAAAAAGCAGATAGCAACACCGATACAAACTGACATAATATTGCTGAGCCTAAACATAATCATAAAAAATAACATAATAAAATAAATATATTGCAATGCTCAAAACGACTATCCAACAGTTCTACCTTGATATACATTTCACTGCAGCATGCATGCACGCCCTGGAGCACCCGTAGCGTGGAGATCAGTCTCTCTGAGCCGACTCGTTCGCAACCGCTAGGATAACGATATCCAATATATCGCGTATCGGCGTAAATAAACGTCGCCAATACCGTCGTGAGACTACCAATATACGCGATTTTAAAAATTAAATAATTTTAAATTAAAAAAAAACATGTTAAACCTTGTATGTTAACCAGTGCCATGAGTCCATCGATCTCAGTGGTTTTCAAGGGAGACCTGTCAACATGGCAGCAAGTAGGTTACAACACATGGACATAAACACAAACAGATAACACAAAAGGACATCTTATTACAGGGCTTCATTTCACACCAGAGACATTGACAAGACCACACGCAACTATATTTATATCCGCCCTGTCAATAAGCCTCACTTCTTGGTCATAACTGTAATGTTTTAAAGTGGTGAAGGCAATGCCCAGTTTGACCCACTGCTGTCACCATGGCAAAGCATATCTCTCCGTCCCACTGAGGTGGCGTTAGACTTTTTCGCTGTCCGTCATTTTGACAGACAGGATCGTAAAATATCCGTCATAATCCCTTATTACCCGTCGGGTCTGAACAGTTCACGAGAGAGCACGCTCGTGAACTGTCAACAGGGGGGCGGGGTGCGGTGTTATGCCGTGTGTGCATGCACCTCGCGGGAGCGCGCACAGCGTAAAGCAAAACCTCCCAGACATTTATTGATCTGTACGGCAAAGTACGGTTTGGAAACTATATCATTTCCTTTTGGAAGGCATGCATAACGCAGCATAACACCAGAGCCTCGCCGCGGGGAAACGTTGGCGCTGTTCCGAGTTTGTTCTAATCTGTCAAAATGACAGACTGCTTTCAGATTTTTCCGTCATTGTTAAATAAAATATTCGGTTAACGCGACCACTGCTGTCCCAGCAACATCAGTACCAAGCGAGAGAGTTTTTTCCAGAGCAGGGGATATTGTAAATGCCCAAACATCCCAGTTTATAAATACCTGGAAATGTGGACATTCTCATATTCCTAAAAACCTGTCTGATGATGCTGAGTGAGTGAGTAGTGAGTTTGAGTTGAGTTACTTGAAAAACTAAAGTGAAACTTGATTTATTGTATTGCAGGGTCTGATTATTAGCTTCTTTATTTGTGAGATGCAGTGGCACAAAGAAAATGCCTACTTTGTCTGGTAGTACTAGTAGGTACAAAAACACTGGTTTTCTTGTTCCAGTCTGTTACTGTCACTTTGTTTTTGACACTTTAAAATACTGCTATCCTACTAAAATGCTGTACAAATCAGATGTATTATGTAATAAATAAACATTTTCCGAGTAAAAAAAATATTTTATTGAAAAAAAAATTGTTTTGTTTTTTTTCCTTTATTATTCAATATTGCGATAAATACCGTACCGTGGACTTTTTATCGCGATATTATCGTACCGTGAGTTTTTGGTATCGTTACATCCCTAGCTAAAATGCATGATCTGTTTGGTATTTTGAAAAATAAAAAGTATAAATATGCCTTATATAGGTATGGCCCTACAATATATTATTCAAATATAGTATGATAGGTCCACTTTAACTTTGTGACAATGTAGCTGTCTTCTGGCGGTGTGTTTTTGGAGCACCTATGTATTGGTTGTGAGGGGACCCAGCTCCCAGGCTGATAAGAGCGGGAGCCTCTTACGACAGCTAAGCCCTATCAGAGAGGGAGCAGTAGTCTTTCCACTGTGCCCCTATTCTGCCGATAAGAGACCCGACAGTGGGGTGTGTCGACTAACTTTGGTCGTTGCATCGTGGCCCTTTTTTCATTTTGCAACACATTGTGGCCTGAAGCACTGTATGTAATGTATAGGGCCTTTGGACTCCCCCTGTAATGGGCTGTGGACATGTTGAACCAGTCACTCAGAGCCATAGCTGCTGTGTTTGTGTTCGGCCAGCAATGATGCGATATACCTCTCCACTGGGTGACTGACAGAAACCGGGCGACAGTTGCTCCTGTACAGTTAAAGTGCTGAATGACGTTCCTTTGCAGCAGCAAAGCAGTATGTTCAAAAGAAGTGGAGGAAGTTGTAGAGTGAAACGTGTTGTGCCTCACTTCACCAAGCATTTTAGATATGCATGGTAGTCCACCACCATCCCTGAGCTCCTACCCCAGATGTCTCTTGCTGAATTTTCTAAATTTCACTGCACCGAAAGATGTTGCATACTTTCCGCAGCTCCAACAGCCTGGAAAACCTCTCTTCTTCCACATTTAGGCGCACATTATCGTCCCCATTTTCCCCGACCCTTTTTTTACTCTTTAAAAAAATGTGAATTTCTACTCTGCCGAAAGATATATGAATATGCACAAAGTTTTGCATGTTTTTAGCTATTCGCACAGCATGGAAAACCTCTTTTCTTCCACATTTAAGAGCACATTATTGTCCCCATTTCCCCCCACCCTTGTTTCTCTCTTGCTTGATTCTTTTATAGTTTTATTGCGCTGAAAGATATATGTACAAGCTCACAGTTTGGACTGCATGTTGCACAATTTTCACAACTAGCACAGCCTAGAAAACCTCTCATCTTCCACATTTAGTTGCAATTTTTCCCCCACTTTTCCTACACCTTCCTTGCTTAAGTTTAAATGTTTTAATGTGCTGAAAAATAAATGTACAAGCACACCGTTTTTCTGCATGTTTCACACTTTCCGCAGCCCGACAAGCCTGGAAAACCTCTCTTCTTCTGCATTTAGGTGCACATTTGTGTCCCTAATTGCCTCCACCCTTTTTGTCTCTTGTTTATTTTTTTAATTTCCACTGCGCCTAAAGATATTTGTGCAGGCACACAGTTTTGACTGCATTTTGTACAATTTCTGCAGCTTGCACAGCCTGGAAAAGCTCCTTTCTTCCACATTTAGGAACAAATATTTGTCCCCATCTTCCTCCACCCTGTAGTTTTCCCTGCAAGTAATTAAAGCAGAACAGTGGAGATATGTTCTACTTAATAAAGATGTTATTCTCATACTTAGAAAATGATTCGCTCAGCTTTAATGTTTCCCATATGGTTTCTACAACTGAAGGCGTAAAACAACACTGATGCAGTGATGCACTGTCATATTGTCTTTGATGCCCTCAGAGGAGTTGCTTCTATATTGCGGTATCATTTGCATATGCATCTGTAGTCGGTGTGGAATTGAACCCATGCTGGGGAGCTATGGTTTATTGTCCTCGCGTAATGGGGAGCTTATGTAAAAATGGAGGGAGGGGAGGGATGTAGGAGAGCCAAGATGAATTGAGAGACTGTGTCCGTGTGGCTGGATGAGGGGTGGGTCTGAAAAAGGGGATGGGTTGACTTGAGCTTGTGCATGTATCCATGTTGGGGGTCGGGGGCCTCTCACTGAGGAATTAGGGGGCAGAATTAGATGTAGAGCTGCAACGATTAGTCAACTATTCACCTCTTATTTTGTTAATCCACTAATTATTCAAGTATTTTTCATGCAAGAATGTAACAAGATTCTAATTTGAGCCTCTTAAATATAGAGACTTCCTGCTTTTCCCTGTTATATCAAATGAAAGTGCCATAAACCTGTCTTTCTTCTAATGAACAGTAGGGATGACTCCTGATTGCTGATTCTTGATGAATCTAAAGTGTTAGTCTCTAGTTTTAAGTCTTCTTTGATTGCGCAATGTTTATTTATTTTGTCCAATTTAGAGTAAAGAAAATGATTAAAAACTGGGGTTGCGGTCGAATTGTCAGTTTAGCTTAGGAAGTTTCCTCAGTGGCAGCCATGATAAGAGCTGTTCGAATTCTCTAGATCAGTGGTTCTCAACCTTTTTACACCAAGTACCACCTGAGAAAATAGTTGGCTCTCCAAGTACCACCATATGACCAATGTTAAAATACAGTCCATGCAGGACTCGGAGGCAAATGTATTTTTTTTTCTCTCTCTCTCTCACTCACTCACTCACTCACTCACTCACTCACTCACTCACTCACTCACTCACTCTCTCTCACCACAAGTGAGAATATAAAGAACCAAATAATAACTTATTCTCACACAACAAATGTCAACTGTACACACATGTCATTTCCTGGACCTATACCAAAGTTTGAATGTAGGCCTCCTGCAACAACCTACATCGTAACAGAAAATGTCCTATTGGGAATTCAGTTCCACAATAATAATGAAAGCCTCCAGGAGCAGATGAGCCTAAGGGCTAATGGCTCATCTTCAGTCTGCTGATGTTTGCTATTGCCATTTCTGTGGTGGCAAAGTAAAAAAGAAAAGAGATAAGAAAAAAGACAACAATTAAGGACAAGTGTGTGCTTTTTCAGCGTTTGACCTCGGTCACAGCCTTCGCTCCATTATTTAACTTCCATTATTTGAGCCTTCTTCCTGAGTCACTCCTCTCCTTCATCAAAGCGGCTGTGCATATCACTTTTGCGTTGCTTGCGGAGCCTGCGCTTGTGCTCGCTTGATGATTCTCCTCATTCACTTGTTCACTTTCGCTGGTAATATTCTCCTCTGTACCTCTCTTCCGAATACCTCCCGTTTTGAGCCACGTTTTTAACATCATTCAGCTTTCTTCTTTCTTTAGCTTGCTTGCAACGTTAGCGGGTAGTAAGGTCGTAATTAGCAACGTCAGAAATAAAATAAAATAAATGTTTTCGTTTCTAAATCTAAAAACAGCAATAGCCTATTAGAACTAATTTAAACCACAGTTTCAATTATCTCAAGCTTATTTTCATTTGTTGTAGTATTTTGATAGTATAATTTATTTTTTAATTAATGTTATTCAATCAAGCCTCAAACTGATGGCACTTGTCCCTATAGCCTGTTTTAAATTGAAGTTGTCTGAGGTCCTTACCATCAGCTGCTGTTGCAGTAATAAGTAGTGTACCTTAATGTCCCAAATGTGCACAATGTAGTGACTGCTTTTCGTCTTTTTGTTTACTTAGTTGTGTTTCCTGTATTTTATATGTCTGTGTTATGTGTAAAGGTTAAAGGTGGGTAAGTTTGAGAAACCGGCTCGAGATACACTTTTTGTTATATTCCATGGAATGCTCTTAACATCCCGATAGCAATGAATATCTGAAGTGCTTTGACAAAAAATCCAAAATGTCAT